ATAGGACTGCTATAACATGTAGATGTGCACCTCATATTTTGGTTGCAATCGGTGGCACCAAAAGGAATAAATATATGTATGTATATATATATATATATATATCTATATATATATATCCACTCTGTTATCCGATTCTGTGATCTCACTTTCTTTATTCTTATATGTTTGTAAATTGTGCATTTTTGGCTTTAAAAATGATTGAATTATGTTGTTCTTATCTTCCGGTTAAGTATTTATGCCTTTAGTAAATCTGTGTGCAATAATTTTACAGTTATCAAACAATTTAAAAGTTGTTTAAGTGCCGCTAAATCTAATAATTTTTGCCATGGGTTATTGCTTGTTTACATTTGAAACAGCAGAATAGTAGATTTGTTGCCAATCTAGAGAAAGTAACCTTTGCAATAAAAAAGATAACGCCTTTTTTTATTATTGCGAATTAAATCATGATTAATCCATTCTGGAATTTATTCGAGGAAATAAGTGTTAAGGTTTACATCCTAATTTTTAATACAGATGTTTTGATTTTTAAAGTATTTTTGCCTTTTTGCGAAGTGAGAACGAAATTAATTGAATGAGAAATACTGAATCTCTGTGAAAAAAACTGCTTTTTTTTTTTTTTAAATTTCTTTTATTCATCGTTTAGATTTATTATACTATTCGAATAGAGCATGTGGCAACAATTAGATAATTCTTCAGATGACATAAACTTTGTGCATTCTGAGTTATAAAAATGAATGAAAATGTAACACTGTTAAGTGAACCTAGCGCCAGAGTGTCGCTATGTAAACAAATATAGTGAATTTTAAGGAGAGAGCATATTTAATCTATTGTGGTTTATGCGCTATTATCGACGAAGTAGAGATTTAATTCAAATTTAATACGTTTAAATGAAATGCAAGAAAAAATGCGTGTAATTTAATATTCCGCACAAGGAAGTCATGCGATTTACACATAAGATCTTTTTTGTCTTGATTCTGAAAGTCTCACGAACTTTCCAACCAAAATTTAAAAGGCGGCCAACTTTCTAAACGAAAGCTCTACTACGCGAACATATAAGTGTTAGTTATGTAGTCAAAATATGTATTCAGATATTTATACAAATTTAATGGAAAACAAAGGCATATCGGGAACATTAGGTTTCTTCTTTTATTTATCTTTAGATGCTTTGCCTGAAAATGCTGTAATTTTAAACGATACACTTGTATTAAATTCATGTTATGAGAAGCGCGCTTTATAAAATAGTGAAATTTTCTTTTATTTTATATTTACAGGTTGGATGTCTTTACTCGATTATTAGATGTAGTACAAGCTAGGTATACAGTCCCTAATAACAGAATGGGTAAATTAATTTCTCCTTTTACTTGGCATTGTTATAAACTTGTTAAACCTTATGGGTAGTGATTCAGAAACATTTGTATTTCAATAGCAGAATGAACAGCTGTTCATTAAATATTTAATATTTATTCATTTTAACAGGTAAAAGAGGAATTTTGTTCCTTACACAGGCACGAACACATGAACAATTACATATATCATTTCTGTGACAAAATTCTGTTTTCCTCATTATCTATGCAACGAAACTTGATGAAATTTGCATCGTTCAAGGAGTCTTTTCATTAGCTACATCTAGGTAACAATTACATAATATCAAAGCAAATAATTCATTGATAACTAAGGAACAAAATCTAGATGCCATATTAATTGCTATATAATTATGCCTCTGAATGATATTAAATCCGAATCTTAGGTGTAATATACGGATTTAACATCATTCAGGGGGATTCGTTTAATAAATCCATATGCTGTTTCCGAGTGAGCTACTTTATTACTTAAATTCTTATACAACTAGACGCTTGCACGGTCACTCTTTTCTTTCGAGAGCATTCGGTTTAACGAGTTAGACATGCAGCACAGAAAGCTAATCGCTTTAAAAAAAGTAAAATAAAGATATAAATATAACGCCGCTTTTAAAATAAAACAACCTGAATCCCTGAACGATGCTACATTGCAACTGTCTGACCTCGTCCTCGCCACAGAAAATCTGCAGTATCCCTGTTTTGTTCAATGGCGAGCACTTGAATAGTCAGCATAGGCCACTCCTAAGGCCGGAACTCCATTTTATTGTGGAGTTACCTAATCGGCGGCTACCTTTGATTCCTATAAAGGGAGGACCAATTACAACCACGCCTTCTCCGGGATTCGAATCCAGTCCCTTCGGCACCGCAGTAGGCCCCCCTAACCGTTATACCGTTTGGAAGGCTATTCAGTATGTCTGATATCCATTTTCTGATTTATGTTGAAGGAATAATTATATTTTATGTTGTTTATTTTTATGTAAATAATTACCTTTAAATGAAGCATAATTAATGCACAATAAAACTCTAATCTGTATGCTTGACCTCCATTCCCTAACTCTGCATACACTGCCGCAGGAATCGAATTGCTTCAAATATTTCCTGCTGTAGGGCATCCTGAATCATATTGGTAAACTGGTTTGGTATACCACACGTACAGGGTTGCAGATCCCCGTTCCAGAAGGTTAGTCTCGGTGGAAGGAGCTCGACTCCAAATATGGTTTCGAAGGCAGGCTTGTAATAAAGGTCCGGTGAGTGAACAGGTTACCGGGATTCTAAGCCACAGCCAGAGTATCTAGTCAGGTGCGTTTTCAAGCAGGTAATTAGTAGTTTGGTGGCTCAATGCGGTAAGCTAGATGCAATCTTAAGATGACTCTGCCCAAAGCGAGTAGATGCTGGTGGGTGGGTGCAGTATGGAAAACTGTTTAATTTCCGACGCCTGTAACATTGTACAAGAAAAAGCTTGCGTCGAATAGATTCGATCTTCACTTTAAAGTAACGGGGTCCAGTTAGGCTTAATATGCTTTCAGTTTGTTTTATTCATGGTAGGTACATGAAGTAAAGAAGCAGTTGAGGCTTTCTTTCCCTTAAGTCATAGAGATGTTTCCTAGATCATTCAGGTCTTCGATTAATTCATTTTCATTAATTATTAACGGCATAACAATTTTTAGCGTTTTATTTGTTTGTCCGCAACTCATAGAAGTGAGAATGTGTATTATTTTCAACGATTATTTTTTTTTTATAATGCGATTGGTGTCACCATCTGTAGAGGTGATATTTAATTAGTTTTTATGAGGTTTCCTCGAATGCATTGGCCAAAAGGAATATGAAGATCTAAGAATTTCTTTGGTTCGTCTAATTTATCAATATATTATAGATGAGACGTATTTTTCTAGTCATAATTGATAGTAGTTTGATTATTCATGACGATACTGTCATCTCTGCTCACTCATGATAACAGCAGGCCTGCTATTATGCTTAAGCTGTCATTGCGTGTCCTCTGGAGGAGAAAATCCTTTATCTGTGCATAAAGCCAAAGACTGGGAGGGCTGGACAGGCGACATAATTTAAACAAATGTTCTTGTGTTGCATGGGTATAAAAGGCTCTTGAATGAAAAATACATTGGAATTATGTACTAATACGAGACTTTTTTCGTTTTCCTCGTAACCTACGTGAGCTCTGATCCATTGCAGACTGAATATACAATTGCTACTGAAGATATAAGTTCTCAAATAGCATATATCAGCTCACTTTCAGAGGCGCCACCATAAATAACTGCAATAATAGAGATGCTGTTTATGCGTAAAACTGTTTTAAAGTATTTTCTGCAACCCAGTTTACTACTTTGATAACTGCAAATAATTCTGCTTAAAAGACAGAATTAAGGTTTCTCAATCTAGTTGACCATTGCAAAATGTAATTATTCCCCATCTTCGCGCATAAATCACTGCCTGTACAATTCTCAATCTTTTAGCTATCGATATACATTTCAAGTTCTGCTGTCACTTCTGCTCTATCACTGATAGAGTAGAAGGTATCACAGTTTCTAACTGCGAAGGCCTCGTAGTTATATCTTTCAGGATGGTATTTTGCCAATGATACTAGTTTTTCAATGTTCGCGTAGGTGACATCGTGTGTGGTGACGTCTACTGTTAATCTTAAGACGTTTGCCACGATTTTCCATTTTTTGTGCTACCGTATATAGTAATTTAAGACTGCAAGATTTAGTATTGCAGTCCTGTATGGTGATAAAGAGGGCTATCCGCCTTTGCAGGCTGACAAATGCTTTGGTTTTATGTGCATTTACATGCCACACCAAGCTGATGCTCCATGGCAAATGGTTGGCATATATATTGTTAGCAATTGTTGTAGCATTAGAAGTGATCGTTGGTCTGACATCATAGCTATCTGTAGCTGCTGTTTTGTTTGTAATGGGCATCGATAAGTGAACCGACCCTTTGAATATTTGATGTTAAACTAACTTACATCCTTTTTATTTTTTGATGACATATGTATTTGTGGGAATAAGTTCTTCCATATCCATTGGTCCAGAAATGTTCGTAGAATCGCAGTATCTGTCTTCATTAACATACTGAATGGAAAATAATTTCCTGTTAAATGAAGCTCCGAGAAGAGAATGCTGTCTGTTGAAGGGTTACCAGATAACAATGAGCTCACTCGAAAGAGATTATATCTCAAGCTTGGAGGGTAATCAAACTTTTATAAGCATTCAGCTAAACCAAGTGAAATAGACTGCAGTTAAACACTTTAAACAACAGCAGTTTGCAAGCATGTCAGAAAGTACCGATAATAATAGCATCCACTGCTGACAACTTTCAGTTCTCGAAAAAGTCACAGCTTAGGCAACTTTAAATAAAAATCGAGGTATCCTTAAAATTATTATTAAATTGTGACATCAATTAATTTCAGCTCAATCCAAAATTCAAATTTTTAAGAATTTATACTTCACCAAAATTGAATAGACACATTTTCTGAATTTGAAAAACAAAAACTAGACTTCTGCTTCTAGACTCATTGATCCAGTTTTTAACTTATATTTCAAAACACCGAATTGACTTTTAACCACACTTTTATATTAGATTTCTTTGTTATAATTTATGCTTCATCAATAGTGTTCCTTTTGCAGAAATTGCTGCGTCGAAGTTACAATATCCCTTTTGCGAACTGGATATACCTCAGTAAGTCTCTAATATACCTCATACAACTCTTCAGACTTAAATTCATTTACTGTGCGCTTATTTGTAATGCTAAAATTCCACTAATTTTATTTTGATTGGTAGGAAAATTTTTCACTGATTTGTATATTTCTTTCAGGTACCTGAATTTTGGAGCCATTGGTTATGTTATTGGTCACGAATTTGAGCATGGACTTCATGACAGTGGTATAGTAGTTATTTAGTTAAAATAATAAGAGAACAGCAAACTAATATTAAGCGCCAGCAATTATATCATCAGGAAAACATATGACAGATATTATTTTCTAAATTTAAGTAACACAATAAACATTGTACTGAGTAATCGTTAAGGCAAATTAAATCGAATATATGAATAGGAACCTAATGCAAGCGCGTAGCAATTAAGTTAGGATACAAAAGTAACAAATTTACTCCTTCCAAGTAAACAAAAGTTTGAAATAAAAACTAAGCTGATCGCTTCTTAAAAATTATTGATCGCTTCAAATGTATGTTAAAAAAACTTATATTAAGGGAATGAACATAAATCTTCAGATAAATACAAAATAAGAAAAGGTCCAAAGATCTGAAATGAATTATAAGTTGCAGAGACATTAGGTATTTTTGAAAGCAAAAGAGAGCCCTCGTCGGGACTCGAACCACGGACCTCTTGAATACGCACCGAGCGTGCTGATCACTACATCACGTAATCTAATGATCTAATGATTCTTTTAACAGCATTCCAGTCCTTTTGACGTGGATTATTGCACCTTCTGCTGAGTATGTGAGTTGAAGCTGTGATATCTGGTCTTGTGATAGACGATATATACAAAAGACTTCCAATAGCTTGGCGAAATTTATCATTTGAAGTTAGGAGATTTTCTTCCTTGTTTAGGTTATAATAGTTCGTTTCCATTTGTGGTGCTAGCGTGTTTCGCTTCTTCAAGTTGAAATTGCTTGACAAGTTGATTTTTTTTTTTTTCTGTGATAAGAGATAACTTCCATCTTCCTTGCGATTTATTTCCATGCCTAAAAATATTTAGCTTCACCAAAGATGCGTTATTTGGTAACGTTTCTTTAAATCATTAATTGTTTGAAGAATTGTCCTTCTTCTGTAGAACTTATTAGGATGTCATCAACATACACTATTAAATTAATTCTGTTATCACGAACCACTTTTTGTGAAAAGACACGGATCTGCTTTGCTTTGACTGAACCCCAGATTCTTCAGTGTATTCTGCATTTCAGCACCTAGCTGCTTGTTTGAGATCATAAATCGACTTCTGTAATTTACAAACTTTATGTCTTTCTTCCGAAACCACGAATCCTTCTGGTTGTTCCATATATATTTCTTCATTTAAGTTGCCATACAAAAAAGGCTGTTTTAACATCTAGTTGATGTACCTTGGCATTATTATACGCTGCCCATGCTAAGGAAAACTCTTATCGTAGTGTGTGTTTCACTACTGGTGAAAAAGTTTCATCATAATCACTGCCGTATTTTTGAGTAAATCCTTTGGCTACTAAGCGTGCTTTGTATTTTATATTTTTACCAGTTTCATCATATTTTGTCTTAAACACCCCATTTGCTGCCTACTGCATGTTTTCCTGGGTGGTAATTCTGTAAGTTTATAGGTTTCATTTTTTTTAGAGAATGTATTTCTTCTTGCATAGCCTTGATCCAAGCTTCTTGTTCACGTTTTGGTAAGTTTAGAATTTCTTCAAAGCTTTCTGGATCTTTAATTTTAAGTAAGATTGATTCTTCGTCTTCTGTTTTATAAGAGAATCTTTCCGGTGGGACCCCTTTGGTTGATCTGCTAGAAACCCTTCTTTTTACATTTTCTTCACATTTAATTAACTCTTCGGAACTTTTTGAATCTTCTGTAAAATCATCGCCAAGAGATGTTTCTTCGTTATTTTCTTCATCTTCTTGCAAGTTATTGAAGTGAATTAATTCTAAATCTTCAGCATTATTTTCTGCAAGTTTGTCAGGTAAAGACGCTTTTTCTGAAAATTTAACAGTTCTACTTACTATTATATTCCTTCCACCTACATAAATACTGTATCCCTTACTTCGTAAATCGTATCCTACGAATATTCCTTCTTCGGCTCTGTTGTCGAATTTACGCCGTTTTTGTTTGTTCACATAGTAAAATGCTTTACAGCCAAATACTCGTAAGTGACTTAAGTTTGGTTTTCTACCATTCCACAATTCATATGGTGTTCTATCTGTGGCTTTAGTTGGTAACCTATTTTGAAGATATGCAGCAGTAGCTGCTGCTTCAGGCCCAGAATCCTTTTGGTAATTTAGAGTTTATTAGCATAGCTTTTGTCATTTCTATTAAAGAGCGATTTTTCCTTTCTGAGACGCCGTTCTCTGCCGGAATAATCGAAGTTCTGATGCCGGACAATAAGGAATATGTTAGTTTGATGAAATAATAAGGAATCGAAGTTTGATGAAAATGCCGAGTTTCTTTAAATAATTTTCAGTAGTTTTCGTTACAGTATTCTGTACCGTTGTCGGATCTGAGAACCTTTATTTTCTTTCTAAATTTATTTGTTGTCGATGCAACATACTGTTTAAGTTTGTCGAATACTTCATCTTTTGAAGTAATAAAATAAATTTGAGTATAACGCGAATAGTCATCAATGAAAGTTACGAAATATCTTTTCCCTCCTAAGCTGTTGACTTCAATTGGCCCACACACATCTGTGTGCACTAAATCCAGTGGATTTTTAGATCTAAAACTAGTTTTGGGATAAGATGTTTTCAGTTAGTTTCGCTTTTACACAAGTAGAACACTTCCACACTATGAGTGCATTTGCCAAGTTTAATGCCGTCTGCCAAATCATTTTTCTCAAGTGTTTTTATGGCATCTATATTTCTGTGGCCTAATCTTTTGATGCCATTTTAGTATGCACAGTTCGTATTTGAAACATGAAACATCATTAGCTAAGTATGCTTTCTCATCAATTGGGTTTACGATCAATTTATATAAACCTTGCTGAGTGTTGCCGTCGGCTACGAGTACATTGTTACGCTTTATGTAACACTTATTATTATCAAATGTAACAATGCAACCTTTATTGGTAACAGATTGAACAGAAAGTAAATTACTATCTAAACCTGGTACCTACAATACATTTTCCAATTTTATTTGTGTACCCTGACCCTTTAAGTTTTGAGCTTTAAAATAACCTTCACCAATACCATAAGAATTTAATTTAGCACCATTGGCTACAGTTACTATTTGTTTATTAGAGTCATTTAACTGAGAGAAAAAATTTTTATCACTCGTCATATGAGTTGAGGCTCCCGAGTCGATAACCCATTCTTGCGTTTGCGTGTTTTCATGTTTATTTTCCACTTTTAGAACTTGATTAAACTGAATCTGTGCATTTTCAGTTTCAATACTTTTAAAATACTTATTTTCTTTAAGTTTTGTTATGTTTTCTACATTTTGCGTATTTGCTATTTGGCATGCATTACTTTTATAATTTTGAGAATAATATCTTACTTTACTATTACTTACATCTGTTTTCGGGGAAGTTCTAGCGTTGCGTTTTAAATGAAAACAGTCATTTATCGTATGGTTATTTCTCTTACAATAAGTACAAAATTGTGTAGCATACTTTGGTTTATTTTCGCTTTTACTTTCTAAAGCAACTGAATCGTACTTTTGAACTTAGTTTCCACACGTCTACAATACTCATCTGTTAGTTTGTTTTTAACATATTCTAGCGACAATTCAGCTTCCGATTTACTTTCTATTGCAGTTTATTAAGGAGGAGTTGTATGAATTTGGTAAAGAACATAGTAGTATTGCTATTAAGTTATTTTCTTTAATTTCTTCACCTATACTACGCAGCTTTTCAGCCAACTCTAGTACTCCTTTGATATGTTCCTGCATTTTAGAACTTTCATTATATCTAATGGAATATAGTTTTCTAAGAAGAAATAACTTATTTTTTAAATTTACACGTTCATGGACACATTTTAACTTCTCTGCCAAACTTCTTTTGCAGATTTACTATGTAAAAACATGGATAATTTGCGAATCCGAAATGTTTAGACATATTAAAGCTTTAGCTTTACGATCATTCTTTAACCAAATATCAGTATCAGTTTCCGGTTTTTCTTCGAATACAACATCATCTAAACCTTCTTTTATTATAAGTTGTTTTATTTTAAATTTCCACACTGAATAACTTTCATCTGTTAACTTTTCTATACAAATTGATTCTTTTAGAATAGACATCAGTATTTGTTACAATTATTCTTTTAAACTTTGTAACTAGTTTTTTTTTTCAACAAAGAGTTTTAATACTTTATGCCCCTGGAATCTTACAACATTACAAAATTTCAATTTCTCAGTCTCGTAATCTTTTGTTGGTTGTACATTAGCACTGAAGGCATAATGAGTACGTTTCCTCAAGCACAGAATTAAAGAATCATAAGTCAAAAGATTTTAACTACGAAATGTTTATTTAACAAAATAGGATAATTCTGCTTAACTTAAGCATAACAATAAAGTAATAATGTTCACGGACATTAAAACACTGAAGTATTCAAAAGAATAACTTACAGAGAATCTTCATCAGTCCTAAATATCATCAGGCTTACCTATTTTAGGCAATAAGAAAAATAAACAGGAACATACTTTGCCATCGTACCTGAAAGAGAAAAAAGTACTACTGGATTAGACCTTTGGCCAGGTACAAGTAGCTAGGGTGAAAATCAAATATACTGCATTGCACACGAACTTTACTTTCTCTCGCTAATATATACCTTGGCGCACGTTCGTTTCGTATGCCTTTCGAGTTTCATTATGCAAAATACCTAAATTTATGCTAACAATTAGCACCTTGGTTCGGTATGTTCTCTTCATTGTTGCAATGACTCCTTGGTCAATGGGTTGGATTAGCGCAGTAACGTTTCGGGGGGAGTGAGAAACTTTGCAAAAATTTGTCCATCAGAAGACTTTAGCACGCTTGTTGCTGGGTGAGAAGGTGCGTTGTCGATCAATAGCACAGATTTTTCAGGCAGGTTTTTCGATTTAAGATGTTTACGCACTTGAAGAACAAAGATATTTTCGAACCATCTTGAAAAATGTGTCGGTTCATCCATCCGGCCCTCCCCTTTTTTTTTTTTTTTTTTTTTTTTCTTGTTAAAGTAATCAAAGGGCAAATTTTCTATCCTTGTGCCTTTGAAAGATCTCGTTTTTTTTTTTTTTTTTTTTTTTTTTTTTTACTTTCCATTGACAACAAGTCTAAGTTTGTGTCTGCAAGACATGATAGTGATCCTTTCCTTGCTGCTTTTATGACCCGCCGCTTTACTTTCACTTTCAGATGCTAAAGTGCGAGTGGGAAGATATTTCCACAAAAGTCCCGATTCGTCGGCATTGTAAATTTGTTCAAAAGATAGCTCTTCTTTAAAAAAAAATTCTTCAAATTCATGGTGGAAATCATCGGCTGCTTGTTAATCATCACTAAGTTTCTCCTCATGAAGTCCAAATTGTCGAATTCCATGTCGCTGTTTAAAACGAGTCAACCAGCCCGAAGACGCATCAAAATTTCCTTTCAGGCCTAACAACTCAAAAAAGGTTTTTGCCTCGCCGCAATGATAGGACCATTTACAGGAGTACCCTCTTTTCGAACTTGAGCTAACCACTCTGTCAATGCCGTTCTAGCTCATCAAAGGTAGAACCCTTCATAGTTTTTCGCGTTTCCATTGCGGAAGCACTGTTCGACATTGATGCAAAGTTTACCAGTTTGTCTTTTTGCTTTAGAATGTCACGCACTGTTGTTTCTGCGATTCCGTAATCCAATTTCATCTGCTGCCTTGTAGCGCCGTTTGCTACTTTGGAAATTAATTCTAGTTTTTGCGCAATCGTCAACACAACCTTCTTTCGTTTTCCTGACATTTTAAATCGGTAACGAAAAACACAAAACCACAAAACAGAAGCACTGAACACAATAAAAGATAAGAAATTAATTCCGACCGGTTCGCAAACACTATCAGGCTTAAACTAGAAGGCCTGGGATATTTTTGCTATAAATAAGCACGATGTTTAGCAAATTTAACGTTTCGCTCAGTTTTGTGAACATTTTTATTTTCTTTGCTGTACGCTTGTAAAAAAAAAAAAAAAAAAAAAAAAAAAAAAAAAAAAAAAAAAATTGTGCGGCAGGCGCGGATAACTCGCTCCCCGCATAATCTGCCCGCGGATAATCGGGAGTCTACTGTATTATGTTCTGTCTTCTCATGTGTTTTTATTCTACATTCTTTTCAATTCCATATTTAGTCCTACGAAGAAGAAACTGCAGGTATATAATTCTGCAAGCTTTGGAAAAAGTCGGTGAAAATAACAATTTTACTGCTCAATTTGATTATTGCCGGTGATTCATTATATTATACTAAATATTTATATATTCATGTTCATAATGTTGTTCTGGGAAATATTTTGTTAAAGCATTATTATTTGAAATGCCATAATCATGGTTAAAATACATTTGAATACATGCTTCCATCTGAATGCTTACATTCTTGAAGCAAAAGTAAGTTGTCTACTTCTGCATCTCTCATAGCTTAGCCATTAAATCTTTAGGGATAGTTTGAATGGTCTGTAAATAGATCTATAGAATCGGCTTTGAAAAAATATAGCAGGTTCAGTAAAGCAATCTGGCAGATAAGGTGGCTGACAAGAATAGAGATATCTTTCTTATCAATGAAATCTGAGCTTCTTTCTTTAGACGTTCTTCCCTAAAAGTCCAGCATCGCATCAAGTTTTCCAACAGTGCTTCACAGAGTCTTCATAATAATCAAAAAAGCTGGTGTGTAAACACCGTATGACTTCCTTGTAAGGAATAGTAAATTATAAGCAATTTTCCTGCATTTCATTTAGCGTTATTTCCTCGAATTTCATAAGAGATATATCTCTCATTTAATTAATTCAGTTCTCGCCTTGCGGCTAGGCAAAAATACATAAAAACTCAAAATATTTTCATTAAAAATTGAAAGATATAGAAAAACATAAAAACAATTTAAATTACAGTTTCTACGAAAAAACAAGCGATTCAGCCGGCAACCAAGAAGGCAGATTTTTCAGTACTAAGTTTCAAGTATAAACAAATATGGCTGTTACGAAAAAAAAATTAGGCTTAGCTGCACTTAAAGAACTTTTAAATTGCTGATAATTCTACAAATATTGCATGCAGATTAATTAAAGCCATAAAAACCTTAACCGGAAGATAAGAACAACATAATTCGATCATTTTTAAAGCAAAAACTGCACATTTTACCCACATATAAGAATAAAAAGACAGCTCGCAAAGCCGAGTAACAGAGTGGGTATATATATATATGTTGCAGCCGGTTTCATGCAAAATGGGAGGTGCATAACTACACGTTATAGCAGTCCTACATACTAAATTTCAAAGTTCCGAGCCAACTCGCCTTTGAGCTATGCGAGATACATACGTAGTAACGTACAGACGCAACGAAAAAAATCTCTTCTGAATCCATTTTAAATCAGTTTATAATTCCTTTTGTGAAAAAGTCCTTTATTTTGTCCTTACGTACAGATGCCACATCGTTAGATTACATTCGATAGTAGTCAAAATGGATATTTCCGTTCAAATATGGTACCCGAAATTTTTCGCGATTACAATACTTCCTTTACTTTGTACAAGGAAGTAAAAAGTAGGAACATCTCTTTTCTTTCGATGAGCCTGACAACATTGTTGAAACAAGTTTTAAGTGATTGAGTTATGTTAGAAGACGTATTAAAGGCTCTCTTTTCTTATAATTATTTGTATAATATAAAAAGATTTCGGAATTGATCCTGTAAAGTCATTCGGTTAATTGGAAGCAGAAAAGATGAAAAATATGCAACCGTCTTCGCCGGGAATCGAACCATGGACCTCTGGAATACCGGCCCAGCGTGCTACCGTTACACCACGAAGGCACACTAGGGAAGTGGGAGAAATACCTTATAATCCTAGCACCTTTTATGGATTTTTCTGCTTGTTATTGAACTTCAGAAGAATAATTCTGATAATTCTCAGTGTCAACGTCGAACGCTCAATAGGTATGTTGATCGCTATATTAGAAGAGTGAGGAAGGTCGGTTTCCCCGCGTTTAGCGTTACTGAACATGAGAAAACACCAATACTGAATTTATGGAGGCTTAAAACATCGCTTCAAATCACGCCTTCTCCACAAGGTCGATGCCAGCAGTATTTCTTCATGCTCCATCAAAACTCATAATTCTTTCAGCTGATTGGAGAAATACAAGAAACTTCGAATTCTGTAGCCCAGCTTCAGTGAATACCCCCGATAATCTGCCGGTGATCTAAAATGACCTGGAATTATTTACGTTCTCTCCTTGATAAAAAAAAAAAAAACGTCAGAGACTACTTCTGCACCTTAGAGAGAGATGAAATTATATCAAATTTTTATTCAAGAGATGCCTTAGGGAATTCGATGGGTGCTTTCGAGAAAATTTCGGTACAATTTCACATGTTACGATTTAAATCAGGATCTCCTTTAAAAGTTATCCAAAACTGTCTGCCGATAACGATCGGTAAATCATACTGAAAGAACCTAATGATAGGGTACATAGCCCTTAAGTTAAAGCAATTGAAGAAAAAGACCGCGAATGATGATTTTAACTTCCGATCTTAACGGAACTAGAACGGATTGACAAAAACAGGAAATTTTATAAAGAGAAATTTCTGCTCTCTCTCCATTGAGATTCGTAACTATCAGATCTCAGGTGTCGATGATATAATATAGATCCTAGTGCTTTGGCCATGGACAATTAGGATGTAACAATCTCCCATGCTACCTAACCTGCTCCCAGGGTCATTTAACTTAACACATGCAATCACCCAAAAGATGGCACACCTACGTACATCATATTCATTTAGTCACTTCCCGAAATGCCCATTTTATCCCAAGAGTAGAAGTAAAAAGGTGAAACGTTCATTTCAGATTCAGTTTTAAACTTGATGAATTACTCTACTCCCAAGAATTCATCTGCTAAGGAATGCTCTCGGGCGCCAGAGTAATCGAACTTTTACATCATCTATGAGATTATTAGAAACTCCGATTTTCCAAATAGCTTTGGAAAATTGTTGAGACTTTTAACCATCCAAAACCATCCACACCCCCTCTTTAAAAGTTACATCATTGAACAGGACTTGTAAATTTGAAGTTTTCATTTGCCAAGACGATAATTAGCTCAAAAGATTTACATAACCTCTCTCTGCTACTGCTGTGATGGTTTGCCTTTTTGGGCCTTTTTAGAACTTTTCTCCAGCGTTAACGATAACTCCACATTTAAATTTCCGATGAAATGAATTATCAGCGAAATTCTCCACTCCATGTTCATCATTTTCAAGACCTTGATGAGCTCTCTGTACAGCCTGGCCAATGTTTCGGCAACAGCATTTACGATAGCATTGTCCTTTTTCCCAAGATGCTGATTTGAGACTTTCTTCGTGACCATGTCATGTTTTTGGATCTAGAATATTAAGTGCCTTTTCTTTTATTCTCCGTAAGAGATCAACACTATAAATTCTCTAGCTCAGGAACGCTTTATGTTATTTTATTAGATAATATGACAGAGATGCTAAGTTGTAGAAGCTGTACAGTACAAAAGATTATCCAAGTATACTATATCGATATATAGAGAGATTATTATTTGATTATATAAAGTTTACTCAATGTACGATTTCTCACAGCCTTCATTGAGGATATCTTTTGCGTATTATGCTCTGCATACAATTTGAAATACTTTGCACATAATTTGAAAGTCATTTCTTATGCAAATGCTTTGTTTATGTGTATATGAACATAATTTGCATTTATGTGTATAGCACATAATTTGGAACCATATTTTATATTTGGAATCTAATTTGAAAGAACCCCCCACCTGTCTACGTTTTGCATACGTTCTCCTGAATAATCTTCAAATTTTATTTTAATATTATTTAAAGCAAGTTATTTAACAGTAACCTGAAGATATTTACAAGCAATTAAATAAAATTACAGTTATGATTTAGTTCGAAATCCCATTCTTATGATATTAGTTAAGTAAGAGAGAAAACATATTTATTACCTTTCTAACTTTAATAATTATTACATTTATAGGTCAATATTATCTTAAGAATGGCAAGCAGTTTTTCTGGTGGAGAAATGAAACACAAGGAAACTTGAGAATCAGAGACAAGTGCTTCATTGACCAATATAATAATTACAGTATTAATGGAGAAAAGGTGATATATATTTAAGATTTTGTCTCTTGTCTCTCTGTATGTTTATATATATATATATGCTTATTTTAATGTATATAAATGACATAAAAATGAGTAACACAAAGTATGTGAATAAAGTAGTTTAAGTGTCATAAGATTTCTGTGTAACTGGAAATATCTATATAAACAATATGCAAGTTGCCAGCAAAATAATCATCAAAATATGGAGCAAATGAAAACATCCGATGAACTGAAAAATTTAGTGTATAAAAACTGTAAATAAGAGATTAATAAAATCATTGCTATTAGAAATTGACTAACATGCCTCAACGTATTAGATTTAGGGACAACGCGTGACATGCAAATTGTCATGTTGCGTGTGAATTTACAGTTAATTACATGACTACATCTTCGAATCAAACAAATTTATTTAAACGTATACAACGCCAACGCTCTCATGCCTGACTTTTGTTTTCATACACCAGCAACAATGAGGTTGCCATATATAGAAGAGAATCTTATGAGTTGGAGCATCATGTGCAATGCGCAAAAAAAAGGGGGGGACAGTTCTATATCTCCTGTTCTACTCTGCCGATTGACGAAATTCAACTTGAGTTTTTCATGTCTCGAAAGCGCAACTTAGGATATGTATTAGATTTATATATCGCATTGTTCTAATATAGGTATTTTGACACAAAATCGCATTTTTTCTTAAATGACATGCCAAATTTTTTCCACATTTCGATTCTACGACTCAAATTATGCCAAATTTTGTAACGAGTAGTTTTTTAAAAAGTTAGCTCGCAGAATTTTAGCTCCTTCATGGTAATTGAATTTGATCTCCTTTTTTTTAAAACTTATTTAATTCCTTGTTAAAAAGTTTGAAATTTAGGCTTAATCCAAATATGATTCGCACATTTTTTATGATTTATTTAAAAATAATTTTTATAAATTTTTCGGAAATAATTTTGTTTCATAACCTGTAAAATTTTTACCGTCAACTTAAAGTAGATGTATTTCTAAGCGCACCTGCAAAAAAGTACAATTTTTTATTCAAAATTTCTTAAAAATATACGTGAATTTATATTTTGGCGCGTTTTGAAATTTGGCATATTCATTGTAAGCGATAATAACTCTAAATGTGGACAACGCACTTTGTTAAAATTATTTGAAAGAATAAACGCTTCATTTTTTTCCCCTCGTGCACAATAAAAAAAAATGGATACAGAAGTAGCTTAATATGAAATGAAAAGTTCACCAAGTGAATTATTCTTGGTGTAAACTGAAAAGTGGCAAGATAAATTTAATTTCTCTATACATTTCTCACCATAAATTACGAAATTCGATATCTAGGCATACTATGAGTCATAGAATCGAAGTATGGAAAACAATTGGTGTGTTATTTCAGAAAAAACTCCGATTTTGTATCAAAATACCTATATGAGAACAACGGCTAGGCATAAATGTAATATACATCCTAAGTGGCGCCTTCGAGACATCAAAAACGCAATTTGAATTTCATCAATCGGACCAGTAGAACGGGAGATATACAACTGACCCTTTTTTTACACAGTGTACATGTAAAAAGCAACCACAGATGCAACAGAAATGATGTATTACCGATCACGCGTATGAAGGTACAGCTTGGACCTTATGTGACTTAGAGCATATGAAAAAGAAATCAACTAAATGCCAGTTTAAGATTAAAAGATGTCCACCTCACTCCTACGTAACTTTTCGAAACAGCCGAAAGCGAAGCGAGACTAGCCAGTTTGGTATGAAATTAACATCTTGCTTCATTTTTGTTCTCATTCATTTTGCTTATCTTGTTTGTAATACTAAGGCGCATATTGTAATACTAAGACACATTTTTAATACTAAGGGAACTAAACTAATAGTGTTTCTTTTTGCGTCAAAACACAAATTTAAAGCATGAAAATAGTAATAATAATATTATACTTGGCCCTATATCTAAAGTCCAAATTTTGTTTTTATATTTGTTTCCTAATGCACATTTCCTATTATATTTTTAGCCCGAAGTTTCAAATGGTTGTATTACTAGTTTTAATATCAAATTCTAACCGTTTCACTAATTTTATTTCCACTTCTCAACAAAAATGGAATTTTGGTCTAATTTACCATTACTTTCAGCAGGGAAAGCTATTGATGGTCTCTCTTCGAGTGTCATCTTTTAAACTACGCACTATAATCTCTGAAGTTAAAACGCAGAGGACCATCCGTTGCAGCTTTCTCCAAGTCCTCTTATTACATGTACATGTATTATTACATGTAATTTGTTTCTCGGAACTTATTCTTCAGAGTTAGATATGTAGACATGTAAAAAACATTTGATCTGGGCTTAAGATGATGAATGCAAATTCAGAAATTTAAAGTTATTTAGATAAATTTTAATCAGGAAATTAAAAAAATACAATTAAAAGAATATGTGTGTGTGTGTGTGGGCGGGTGTTTTTATAGAATAATCTTTTATTTGTAATTGATATGATAATTAATGCAATAAAAGGAGAAAAATAGTAGATTAAATAATAATACATACACTGACTAGTAGCAGAACTTCCGTCCCGGTATAAGTCAGCCGTACATCATTGAATGCCCTGACAACGTCTCCTTCTACCTTTGTATCCACATGAGAAACATGCTTGCTATTACGTTTAAACTGCAACTGCGTGTCCCTGGAGGGAAAATATCTACTATCTGTACACCTCAGTCAAAGAAAGAGAAGGCTGAACAGGCGGCACAATTTAAACAAATGGTTCTTAGAAACATATACTGTGCCAGATATTATAGGAAATTTTTGCAGAATATATGCAAGTATCAAAATAATAATTCACAAAATTATTTCACATTACAAATTAACGGTTTAGACCATCCGAGGAAAATATGCGCGTTACAGATCAAACATTATGTGAGAATGAGCAATATTCTTCGCAGTAGACAGTTTTGAGTTAAAAGTAATGAACCCAAATAATATCAGTCTAAATATTATCACCTGCCTAAATATTATCAGCCGAAAGGCCTAAATATTATCATCATTAGCATATGCAATTACATTGACATTCTTTAGACTTTTCCATTTTTCACTAATCGAGCTACCCAAGGTCAAAGATTATACACTGACTACCAATACGTATTTGGACACCTATGCAAATGACGATATCTGCGGTTCTAAGGTACGTCACGAACTCCGACGGTATATATCGTGTAGGAAACAGCATCGGCTTTAGTCGCATGCAAGATGCCTCGCAGTTAGGAGCTCTCTGATTTCGAGAAAGGTATAATTATCGGGTATCACAAATGTGGCCGATCCTTAAGGGACATATCTAGCGATCTGAAGTACCCAAAATCGACAGTAGCCTATGTGACTAAGAAGTGGAAGCTGAGCGGTGATTGTCAGAATGTGCCCCGAGTCGGCGGACCAACGAAACTGGGAGATAGAGACCGACGAGTGCTATCCAGAGAAATTCGGAAGAACCGCACCCAACCGATGGCCCTCATCCGCAAAGAGTTTCAACAGGCATCTGGGAGTATTGTTTCAATGAATACCATCCGTAAGGCAGCACATCTGCTTGGGTTTCATGGTCGTGCTGCTGCCCATAAGCCTTTTATCACAAAGTCCAACCGCGCTGCTCGGTTAATGCGGTGCAAAGCACATCGAAATTGGACCGTAGATCAGTGGAAACGGGTTCTGTGGAGTGACGAATCAAGGTTCACCCTTTACCGTTCGGATGGCAGGGTCTGGGTCTGCCGTTTACCTGCAGAACGTCTCCTGCCAGAATGCATTGTGCCAACAGTCAAGTTCGGCGGAGGTGGAATTATGGTCTGGGGGTGTTTCTCCTGGTATTGGCTGGGACCCTTGGTCCCCATTCATGGTAAGCTCAACTCCGATGCCTACTGCACTATTTTAGATGACAATGTACTTCCTACGTTGTGTCAGTTTTACGGGTTGGACCCCTGTTACTTTCAGGACGACAGTGTCAGTTGTCAGGTTTCGACGTTAACCAAGGCTTGGTATGGTGACAATGGAGTTCATCGAATGGACTGGCCTGCCCAGAGTCCAGACCTGAACCCTATCTAGAACCTCTGGGACGAGTTGCATCGCGAAATTCAGGGGTGCACTACCTGTGCAAAATCGGTAAAGGAACTTTTATGTCTTCTCCAAGCCGAGTGGAAGAAAATACCACTAGACATACTTTCCACAAGTCATTCAAAGACTTGTGGAAAGTATGCCCCGGAGGGTCCACGCTGTAATTACCTCTCGTGGAGGCTTTACCAACTATTGATTTTGAATAAAGTTAGTTTTTCTTTTCAATCACAGGTGTCCAAATACTTATTGGTAGTCAGTGTATTCAGAGAGATATAAGAGATGCATGTCCTGTGTTAGGGTGCATTCATGTAAGTAATGTCTCAAATTGCCTATTTTACCTCAGGAGCACTGCTCCGATCCGAACGTATGTAGATAGATTGCCGTAGGGAAGTACCTAGTGTACAATTGGGTCAGCATGGAGCTTTCTCATTTTTAGGCCGACAAGACTAGTCATGAGTCATGAGTGATATGCACTGTTGTCATGAGTGATATGCACTGTTGTCATGAGTGATATGCACTGTTGTCATGAGTGATATGCACTGTTGTCATGAGTGATATGCATATAGTCATAAGTGATATGCAATGTTGTCATTGCCTTTGCTACCTATTGGCACCAGAAAGTATCTAAAAGTCAACGATTATACAGTCCCAGTCAGTCTTGAGAGGACCTTTAAGGCCAGTTTACATTTCTTTGAGTAGACTTTAGCGAGTCTCTCGCTACGACTTCTCTTACGCTCACTTCAGCCGAACAGAAACGTAGGCGAGATGAGTGAGGGATTCCGTTTCTGCTTCGAACGAATCTGAAATGAAAATTTCTACTGAAACTGTATCCAGATAATAACTCCGAGCAGTTGTTCGCACAGACGTCGTGCCCAAGTTTTTGCATCTTGTCGAAAATGCCGAGATAAAGCGATAATC